TTTCAAGTAGTTTGTGTTTGTCTCTACTATAGCTTTCTTCTGTCTGTATCTGTTGGTTCTTTTTTAACGTTATGTGGATATTGCAAGGTGTATCAGAAGGAAGGACTGGCTAAGATGTATATTAACTCACATTTATCATCATCAATGTTTCAAGATCGGGTAAACTGTTAAGTAGGTGTTAGATAAATGATGGCAAATATATTCTGCTGATCTGGTAGTTATCCAGCCTAATGTGGTTTTTTTTAATTTCTTTGCAGCATGGAGTATTTGTAGAATTCTGCAGGCATGAATCATGTGGATGTAATAGTGAAATATATTGTTCAAACCTGAAATTGGTAAGCCTATGGTACGACTTCTTTCTTTCAGTGCAGTTAGATACACATGTTTTCTTAGTGGCTCCTCAATTTATGAATTTGGTGCCCTGTTGTATTCTTGGCAAATATCCCGAGTCATTTTGTTGTTTTCAGGTGGTACCTTTCTCGACTTTTATCCATCATGGTGAGGCTAAATGGATGAAAATGCTACTAAGATCTGAGAAAAATAATATATTTTGTGACAACAATTGCTCTAGGTTATTTTCATTAGAAGAGAAATCTTATAGCCCATCAAAAAGGAGGATTCTAATAAGTGAAGACCTTGGTTTCGTGTTACTTGGGCATTTAAAGGTTAGTAATTGTTAATTCCATTATTGTATCTTCAGTTTGGTTTTGGAATTTCTTTGTGCTGTTGTTACTCAATACCAGTTTGGTCAAACTCATATTTAGATTCACAGCCAAGTCTTGGCAGTCCATTTGTATGTTATTTTTTCACAGCTTTAAGAAATTGTAAACATGGAAAGGAGGGTGTCAGAGGGTATTTCTGAGTTTCTGGCTGTCACTACTTTTTCTGGATGAAGATATGATCTTTAAGATTTTAAGCATCGGTTTTATTGATTTAGTAGATTGCAGCTTCTGGAAGGCTGCAGTTGCTTGATGGGACTGGAAGCATTGATGTCATTATATCAGACCTTCGACCTGCTTGGGAGGAGAACAGCATTTATGAGGTTCTTTAACTCAAGTTTATTATCTGTTCACTAGCTGTTGCTGCTGGTGGAGTGGGATCACCTACTATTAATATCTGTATATTCTTTTGCATATCTCTGGAATAATTGCCTTTTCTCTTGGCTTTCAGCTCCTTGACTATAGACTAATAGTTGACGGCATACCTGAACTGGTGGATCATTTGAAGTTGCTTCGAAAGTCGATCACTTGTAGGAGTGTCTTTCATTGCCTTCCCGTTACAAGAGAGAGGGCGGCCTCACCAATGTTCATTGATCTTTCCTTGAGGGGCTCAAAATGCAGGAATATTCCCTTCTATTCTTCTCTGGAATGGAAAAACGATTTATGTGAATTTGAAAGTGGAGCTTTTCATCTATTTTTGGTGACACACAAATTTCCAGCTCTTCTCAATGTATGTTAAACCTCAGAAATCAGTAACATTCTCAAGATGCTTCAAATGATTTATGTTTAACTTATCACATTGACCATAAAAATACTAACTACATTTAGAAGCTGAGAAGTTTTTGTTTAAAAGGATTGCCACCTTTTACTTTCACTAGTTATTGATTGTTCAAATTTGTTTTCCCACTTTCAGAGTGGTCAAATGAGATCAAACATATCTAGTACATTTGTCGAGGCCATTATCTTGCCATGGGATCTCACTCTAGCTGGGAAAGATGGAGCTGTGCATTTAGCCAAGTTTTCAAGGAACCAGATAAGTGAACAAATGGAACATTATGCAATTGAAAGTAATGAACATGCTCCCATTAAGAAGCAAAGAACTTCTAACTTGACTGATAAAGAGTTAACTTCAGGTTTCTTGAATGATAATCTTGGGAGTGAGTTTAAGACCTCATGCTCTTATGGAGATGATACTCAAACGCATGGATGTGGAAACTTAAGTAATTCTCGTGAAATACGATGCATGGCCACTGTCAGATGTGTTAATAACAGTAATCTGGTAACTTCAGGAATTTTATATCATGCAAAGCTGAGTGCTAAGGTTAATGTTAATGGTAAACCACATGCAGAGAAGGTTTTGCTGCAATTCCAGTCTGAAAGTTCTGCTAAATATCATGTATGCTGGTTTGGTCTTCTTTCCCCCTTTGGTTGCTCCATCTATTATAAATCTCTTCAATGAAAGAGTAACGATTCTATAGTGTGTTTGAAGAGACAACCTAAAATTACTTTTGTTCTTAAGCATCTAATTTCCAGTGGTTGCAGATTGGAGGTTATTACATCATGAAGCACCACATAGAAGATTCTTTTTGTAAGGTCAAAAAAATTTATGAAGTCAACAGTGCTAGAGTTCTCAGTTCCACATCACGTATCTGGAGCCTTTGTTTATCTTTTGATTATGCGTTTACCAGTAACAAGTCCATACATGATACTGTAATGGGAGATTCTTCATTCAACAGGAATGATATTCTGCTGGCAGAACAAGATGAACTGCTTCTGCAAGGAGCTCCTGGAAGTTCTCCAGGAACTTTTTCAGATGTTTCACTTCATCTTCCTTCTGATGCCATTGACATCTTGCATGTAAAACTTAAGGAACTAGAAGAAAATCTTATTAAGCCAGCAATAAAACCAGAAGAGGCTTACAATTTTTTGTCCAGCAGAACACATTTGCACAGTATGCCTTCTGGGTCTTATTCCAACTGCCTGTTTCCTGAGGGAAATTTAGTATCTCTGAATGGCGATGTGATTGCTATTCATGGTCTTGGCCTCTGTACTCCGAGTGTTCAATCAAACTGTGAAGATCCTAATAATGTTCTTCAGCTGAGATTCCTTCAGGGACATGGAAGCAGTTGTATTCACGTTATGGTGGACCATCAAACTGTTAGTGACTATTACACTTTTTTCTTCCTTTCATTTAAATAAGTGAATGGCGTATCTTATTGTACTGACTTGATGACCAGGTGAAGATCTCTGGTTTCTTAAGTAGACACACATATCTTACTGGATTTGGGCCTGGTACAAATGCAACATTTCACCGAATTCTTGAAGTGGGGTATGCAAAAGGAAAAGTTAATTTGTCGTTTCCTTAAGACATTTGGCATCTCTTTTCAATGTTAATGCAAATTTTACAATCATGTATTTTCTGTAAAAATTCTAGGATGAGTGGGTTTATTTATCTGATTTAGAATATTAATTGGTGGGCAATTACAGAAACTTAGTCTTCTTATTTTTCCTTGAGTGTTGAAAGGTAATCACATAATTTCACATTTATATACCAGGAAAAGGAGAATTAAGTTATTGCTTAACTGCTATGATACAACCAGTTCATCTCACCAACTTAATTTCTTTTCAGTTTCAGTTCCCTCTCAGCAACTCAGTTTCTTTTTTTGTTCTTTTCCAGTAAGTTATTTTCAGTTTTCCATGTTATATTTCAGGTTTTTACTCTTTAAAATTGTCGGTGGTTATTATTTGGTAGTGTGTTGTATATGGTTCTCCTTTGAGGTGGCTGTTGGAATAGTGTAGTGGTTTCATTTGGTGGGACAAATGTTTCCATTGCCTGCATGGGAATGAAAGTTTATGCAGAATTTGTCAAGAAAAGTAGAGTTTAATTATAAAGTCAAGAAATCATAGAGTTCTCTCTAACGATTCCTTACCCACTTTCAAAATGAATAAGAAGAAGGAAAAAAGCTGCCAAGTTCTCTAACCCTCTTTCTAAATTACCCACTCTCTAGGCCCGTAACCTGATAATTCACCTGGGACCCTAAACCTTGTAGAGAAGTTGCAGTTATGGCCAAGGATGACAAGGGAGTTAGCATTGGTTATTATCCAATTAGTTTTAGTCAATATCTCTTCCCTGTACAACTTCCTGTTCAGGTTGAGTAAATAAAGAAAAGTTAGTGGTATAGGGTTCATTTGTAAAGACTGCCATTTTACTGATACTCAGCACCTTGGTGTAAGAAGTAACCACCAGGTAGACTTAGCTTGTGCTACTTCCACTCCACAACCGAGATTCAAGCACTTCTAACCATTGCTTTGAGGGAGTTGATCTGGGAGGCATACTGCATCATTGGTTTCCTAGTGGCTCCACAGGCCAGATACTTTCCCTAGAAGGGTCAGATTCATAAGTCAGCTATCATGTTGGGAAGTATAGATGAATGACAACAACGTTTCACTTGCTCCACAGTTAATATATTTCACCACCATTGCTAGCATCAGTCAGTAATTTTCTCAAAGTTCCAGTGGCAAGTGGAAACAACATTGAACAATTCTGAGCTATACCAATCAATAGTGTAATTACAAAATTGTGGCATAGTCCGTAGGTCATTTCCTTTCTTTGATCCTTGGATAAATTACTGATTTTTGAATGATAAAAAGAAAAAGTAGGAAAGGGAACAAAGAGGTCAAACTGGTATGGCGAGAACCGGAAACTTGTTGCCTTTGGCTTTGCTGGAATTCTGGGAGTCTCTAAGCATCCAGTTCAGGTGGTGGGCAGAAGCACTAAAATATCACAGATCAAGATCTGTTGACAAGCCAAGAATTTAACTAGGCATCTTTTACAAATTCAGCAATATGTTTATCTACAAATATAAACATAGGATCCCGCTATAACCAGAACAAAGCAGATGACCCCTCATCAGACAACTCAGGATTTGGAACCAAGTGTCTTTAAATTTGTCAAAATTAACATCCTCAAAAGCCCTTCTGTTCCTTTCTTTCAATATGACTCAAAAGATGGCCAAAGGAATAAGGAACATAGGCATCTGTTGACTATTTGTTTATCAATTCAGCAATCGATCTCTCATGGACTCACTCAACCTCAACCGTAAGAATTTCTCATCACTCTCCCGATTCTCTCAACCACATATCTAGTAATTTTAAACAGAGAAAGATAAAATAGGGGAATCCTATATTGGATAGAAGTACCCACTACCAAAGGGTGACAATAGCACTCTTTCAGCAATCTAGATGCTTAGAGACTCCACTCACAATGGGATTCCAAAAGGAGGCAACCCGAGTACTGTCTTCCTCTTACTGAAAGGCCGCTTTGAAAAGCCGCACCCAAATGACTCAGCCAGACCTCTCAAACTTCACTGTTAGCACTAAGACATGCAAGATTGCTCTTCCTAAGGCTGATCTGCAAACCTGAGATGGCCTGGTAGATATGCAGGATGCCAAGGACTGCACAGGTCTTAAAGGGGAAAATTACTGTATCATTCACAAACTGGAGATGGGAAACTTCCGATCTATCATGACCAATCCTAAAGCCCTCAAACATACCTCAATCACTACCACTAGAAAGCACATGTCCCAAGAAGTTAATATTGATAGTGAAAGGGAAAGGGACAAGGGGTTCCCTTGTCTCAAACCATGCTGCCATTCAAAATTGAGGTTAGTAATGGTGTAGATGTAAGTGAAGATAAAGAGTGCATTAAACATGTTTTCTTCTTGGAACTTGAGTTCAATTGATTATCCTTTCAGTTCTTTAGAAATTAGCAACATTAATAATAAAATTCTTGTTGTAGCTATAAGGATTTAAATCCTTGACTTTTTAGTGTAGAAAAAGAATAAGAACCAATAGAGCAAGAATACATTACCAAACTACTACTTACAATCCAAATAATGGACCTAATGAGTGGTTCAATTGAACTTTGGACCAAAATAACATACCAAGTAACCGTTCCCTCCTTTTGAATCTAAAAGTAGCCTCTACCATATTCCATGTGTCCCCGTACCGTAAACCAGACATGCCATGTTTCTAACTATTGTTTTATCATCCACTATTACTAAACCCTACTTAAAAATTTGCACCAAAACCATCTATGTCCTAGATTGCTTTGCTATTTAATCATGCAAGCATGGCAAAAAATGTGTTAATATTGTGTCTCTCATATAAGTACTTACATTTATTGTTATTGTTTATACTCCCTCTTCACTCTTGTTTCCTGCATTGCTTTCTTTGGAGTGAATAAGACAAATAACATGTCCTAATTTAACTGCTGCTACCTGCTTTTCCAGGGGTCAAGATAGATTGATGCTGACACCCATATCATTTATTGTGATAAATTCCTTAAGGGTAGTTGATGATCTATACAGTGAGAGGTGGTCCAGTTTTCCTGCCTCAGCTGTTCATGGCACATCATCTGTGGAAACTATTTCTTTTGGTTTGATTTCTGAACTGATACCAAAATGCATGGATTACAAACCCGTAAGGTTCCTCTGTAAGGTGAGGTGTATTAATCTATGAAACTTCTTTTTCTATCAATTTATGTCATCTCTATATGTATCCTTTCTCGTAGAAACTTTCATCTGTATCTTTGTTGTTGTGACAGGTTATTGCCATCAATCTCCTGGTTCTGGAGAAGTTTGAGAAATATGATAATTCAAAATCTAGTATTCAATCCAGGCCAGTTCCCATTGACATTCCACTTGCGGGTTTTGTGCTAGGTAATTTACTTGTCCAAAAAATATTGATGTGATAGGTAACTCTAACTATCTGAAAGAACTGTCAACAGAGGAAGGTCAAAAGAATTTTCCTTATTTTTTAGTAATTTATTCTGCAAAGACCTAACTCTTTCAAATTTGATTCATAATTGGAAGTTTCTATGACTTAATGTGAATATAGAAGTGACTTTTGGAAAAAGGGTGAATATTTTACTGCTGCTTGGTGCCAAAAAAACCTGCCTTGATCTTATGCTAATGCAAAATTTCATTATTCTTTCCACATAGCATTGCCAGTTCAAATTCTTTCATTAAATAATGAGCATTACCTCAAGTGCATGCTACAGTTCTTATATTTCTAAGTTTTTTTGGCCGTATGACAGTTTTAGCCTGATAATCTTCTTCTCTCTTCTCCTTGTTTGGTTTTGCTTTTGTTTCCGTTTCTCTTTCTCATTCTATCCTGCTTTGTCTTCAGTTGTCTCTCTGTACTTTTGCGGTTGAGCACAGGGAATTTTCTTACTTTATTGCTTGTTTTAATGATACTTTTATAGAACTGGTACTTGAAACAAATTGTTTTTTCCTATAAACTCCTTGATCTTGTTTTCAAATTAAACAATGATGTTAAGTTCTTTAACTCTACTCTCAAGAGTTTTGAAGTGTTTTGAAGCGATATAGTATTGATCTGTGAACATTTTAGGCCTATTTGTTTCAGTCGAAGGTATGCACCCCTTCACTATCTTTGGCCATAATCATGATTTATGATAAAAGTACTTATGTAATTGGTTGAAGGTCCTGTAGGTAGTACCATGGATTCCAAGAACATTGTAAGTCCAAGATTAGAAAAAAGTTTTAAGAATAAAAATTGATTACAAAATGTGACAAAAGATACAGATTAATAGTATAATATCAAAATTAATAAGATATGATAAAGATAATACAAATTTTAACAACAAGAGTTGTCATAACTACAATTGTAGGATAGTCACGACCATAATCATGAAGTTGTAACAAGAACAACCATAGAATACTTAATTAATGGTAGAGTATTTCCAAAAACTTTTATTCAGAAGCAGTTTGAATATGATGAATAATAATAGAGTATCAACCATTTGTGTTTAGGGTGTGTAAACATCCTAAACTATCTAAGATATTAAATAGAAAACAACTAACAAACTAAGATTCTTAACTGAAACTGAAATAATAGACCTACTAAAAAGACAATCCCGAATCAGTATCAAAATGCAGTTATTTGCATAAGAAATTACTGTGGTGCCTCAAGTCAAGGACTAGTCTAGGATTTTTCACTTGACTCGCAATAAAAGCTCCATACAATAAATCCTTTCTATATAATAAACTTGTTCTTCCAGTGAATACCTAAATTACTGTAGTGGCACTCACAAATGACTTAATAAGATCGGTCAACTTTTGTAAGTTGGCATAATGGATCCTGGCCTACTTGGATCAATAACACTCCCATTATTGATCTGTGACTGCAAATATATATAATAATGTTCATATCATTATGACCTCATCACAATGTAATGATCAGTGTATTACTAAAGAGGATTTTATTATGTTATTGAAATAAGTTTAATCTAGATAAAACAAAAAGTACACACATCAAATAATATTTGTTAAATAATATGTTTTAATAGAACTATTATAATAAAGTGTCTATTGCATTCCATTATACATATGATTGACTTGTAGATACAAATTTTTCTTTCAATATTGTGCAGGTTTATAATTTTTTGTGACATTTAGAATTTCTTGATATGAAATCTCAGATTTTGCTTCTATTCCGTGTTTTATAATTATGATTCTTGTTCCTGTAAATTATTTGGGCATTCCTGATGTTTTTATTTTAGATGATGGGTCGTCCACTTGTTTTTGCTGGGCTAATGCTGAAAGAGCAGCTACCTTGCTAAGGCTGCGTGAAGAACTTCCACAAACGGTTCTTGAATACTGTGGCTGCACATTAAAGTGGGTTGGTATTGACAAAACTGCAAGGGGCTCCATTATGTATCATCTTGGAAGAATTTTGGAGAAGCACAAAAGAATTACAGTAAAAACCCATGGATCAATGGCTGATTCCTCTTTTCCAGAGCTTACTGTCTTTGCCTCTTCTGATAATAAGCTCACCAGCTCAGATGAGAACCTCCTTAAGTTCATAGTCTTACATGCTTGCTTTTGTATCTCTTGGGTGAGTTTAGATTCATTATTGAAGATTCTGTGGAGTAAATTTATTGTCTTCAAATGCATAGAAGCAAAATTTTGCATTAAGACGGTTGGTGACGGTGTAAAAATCAAATGGATAAATTGAATTTAGTTTTGGAGTCTTGAAATTTGTTAGTTGTATTAAAGCTTTTGGTCAATATTCTGAACAGTGATTTGAATTCTTTTATTAATTGATCCTCTTTTCCTGCATTAAGAACCTAAGCTGAATGATTTTATATGCTTGCATGATTCTGTCTGAATCCCTTGCAAACAAGACAATTTTGAGCTCAACTTGCTTCATCTTATTTCCTTCCTGATGTTTCCTTTGTTGATACAAAATTTTTCACTCCTCCATAGGGTATACTTGCTCCTTGCTTCAGTTTGAAAAATAAACTTCTTTCTACCCTCCCGCAGTGTATTATCATCTGTTCTTACATGCTAAATGTTAAATAGATGAGGTGTTTTTCTTTCAGACTGTTGTTGCTTGCATGATGGATCCTGATGCAGTTAGGCACTTGGAGAGAGAGCACCTTGTAGAAGTGAAAACAGTGCATTCCGTGAAAAATATGTGGGCCAGAGAAGTCTGTCATACAAATTCTCTCACAGAGGCCAGGAACATCATCCAAGAATTATTGAACAGGTAAGCATTTGCATCGTTTGAGTTTGGTGCACATCATCTGCTGCCACATTGTACAACCATAAAAGTTATCCTGCACTGAACTGCTGGGAGTAGCTGTAAATGTTATAGCTTTAGGTAATCTTTTCCAACAACACGTTGACTTCTAAACATTGACTTGTTTCAACCACATGTTTAGACGGTTTGCTTTTGCTTAATTTATTCAAGTCATGGTTTTGCCGTTTAGTCTTTTGTTGTCTTCTTTGGTTTCTCAATAAATTGACATATATTTTTTAGTTATAGCTTAGGGCTATATGGAAGAAATGAACTTTGTTTGTGGAATTTATTTAGAAATCAATACTTAATTCTATGGACGGATGATAATCTCTTCCAAAAGGATGAAAATTGTGTTTGCAATTGGTCAAGTTTCCAATCAGTTTCCAAACCAATTTCTAGTTCTAATTCTCATATAAAGCAACATGATTTGTTGTGGTTGAATTACTGTTAAATTTAGTTCTAAACTTAATAATTAAGAAATTAAGTGTAATATAATTATGACATTAGAGGAGTTTTCATGTTTAATCTTTAAAAAATAAGAGAAATTATAACAAAAATTCAGGGAATATTTTACAATTTACCTGATACTCAATAATAACGTCTGTTTTGAAACAAGAGTGATGTTTAGGCGGGTTTGGCGTAGCAATTGTAATTCATGAGTAATAACCCTGTCGTTGACTTCTTGTATTTTCCTGGTTAAGGTAGGTGTCCATGGCAGGCACTTGCCGTTAGGCAGAGTCCAACAGTAATATTAATTAATTATTTTTTATCGTTATTATTGGAGAAGAGAAAAAAAAGACTGCAAAAACCTGTCGATGATTCTGAAAAAGGCTTCTGCATCTGTGGTAAAGACTTTGGACTTTTACCCACCCCACCCTTTTTAGATTCCCTCCCTCTGTGCTTACTTGTTTCTTTTGCAGTCTCTATTTTCGTGTTTTTACTTTTTACGGCCCCTACTTTATTTTAACTTACTATTGTTAGTTCCTACTTCACGAGCAAACAAATAAAACAAGTTGGAGTTGAAGGAATACATATTCATCAAATTAGTAGGTGTATAAGAATACATGCCCAGATGGTTTTCTGTCTAAATTTTTACTTATCTCCTCTTCACAAAATCTCAGCATAAGAAACCCAGTTGCTTTCTTTCTTCCTTCTTCATCTCAGTACTTAACCTTCCCAATTCTGCTCCAAATAGATTTGATTTTCAGTTATTTCCTTTAACAATTCACCTCTCTCTGCTGCTGTCTAAAATTTTACTCATCTCCTCTTCCCTAAATCTCAAAGTGAGAAACCCAGTTGCTTTCTTTCTTCCTTCTTCATCTCAATACTTAACCCTTTCCAATTCTGTTCCAGAAAGAATTGATTTTCAGCATTTCCTTGAACAATTCACCTCTCTCTGCTTCTGAATCTGACCTTCCCCAAACCCATTCCTCGCCCCTTTATTCTTTAAAAGTGGTGAAGATGTCAATGCCACCACCATTGACAGTAACCCAGCAATCTTACAACGCTCCTCACTCTCCCCAGGCCTCCATCGGTCCAGTCATCGGAGTTCTGGTTGTGATCATGATCTTAGGCATGGTAGCTGTCATGGTCGGACGGCTCTGCGCAGGAAGGCTCATCATGGGCTATGATATTGAGAGATGGGCGGAGGCAAAATGTTCATCCTGCATTGATGGAACTATCAACTCCTCTCCGCAATCAGTCTCACTCCAACAGCTTAAGCAAGGAGATAATCTATCTTCTTCACCTGCATCTGCGCACTGACACCCACTGCTTACCTTCTAACAAAGTACGAATATCAGTCTTCTCCGCTGTCTGCCCATGTAGAAAGCAGTATCTTTGAAAGCATTTCCAATCGGGTAGTTGTTTCAAACTTCAAATTTAAATTTGGTATTTAATTAGTTTAATTGTTTATCGTCATTTAGCAATTTGAGAAACGAAGATATGAACGGATGAAATTTAACTTACCAACATGATAAGCCCAACCTAGCTGTGCTTTCTGCTGCTTCGTACTCTCATCTCATCTAATATTTTCCTTATCGCTATTGCTTACGATGTGATACGTTATGCCATTCAAGTTCTCTTTTTTTTTTTTTTTTTTTTCTCTCTGAAATAGCGATAAAATAATAAATATTAAATTCTATATGCACGCATAGGTACACGTATCTATGTATTTATATGTGCACATGCAGCAGCGCTGACACCCTTGAAACTCAGATTAGTAGAGAAACTTTGGCGCTTTTGAAAAAATTGCAAATTGAAAATCACGCTTTAGCTATATTGAATATTGAAAGTATCTTCAAGCCAAGATCAAAGTTTTTTTTTTTTTTTCTAATTACCCACCAATGCATATTCTGGATCATCAATATTGAATGGCATAGCAGGATATATATCTATTCAGCTGAATAAATATAATTACAACCTTCTCCAGCCATGGAATACTATAATAAACTTCTTTCAAATGCGACAACTAAAAAAGAATTTGTTCACAGAACTATCTGATTTGTCTGAGAATGAAGGAGGAATATTTCCATTTACGAATATGGTAGAATAAAACAGAAATTTTGTTGGAAAACACTATCTATACATACTATGTTCAGAGGAAATATTCAAGATAATAATGTATTTTTTTCTTCTATGATATGAAGATCAATACACTCTAAATTTTCTATTCCTTTAAAAGTTAAAAATATTGCATGGCATCATTATTATGTAAATTCCATTAAATAACATTAATGAATTTGATTTTGTGTATGGATAATTGATCATTGTTAAAATACTGCATGGAATACTGAAACATGAAGGGTCCTCAACATTTTCAAGAATGCATTATTTTTTTCCCACTTTTGTCAAAAAAAAAAAGAAAGAAAAAACCCAACGGCTACCTATTTTCTTTACTATGGAATAATGAAAAAAAAAATTATTTAACCTAGCTCTGATACCTGCAGAACAAAATTTAATGCGGACAACATAAAAGATGTTTATGTAAGATTCTTACTCTAAGCCACATTTTGATGTTTAAAAAACAAATATTAAAATTTCATGCTATAGATTTGATCATTTTGATTTTCATAATGATACAAGATTAATGGTCAATTATTTAGGGATTTAAGGAGATCAAACAGTCTCACCAGGACATGCCTCTTTGTTTATTTAATCCTCATGCAATAAAAAAGTAAAATGATTATTTGGAAATTTGAGAAAATCACGGTTGTTTGTGTAATCTTATTTTGAACACTCCCAACTCAATCAGAGAATCATTAAGTTTTAACCTAACCTTGACTAATGTAAAAGTAATAAAATATTTTTTGTTTGGTTTAATTTACTCCTAATTTTTTAAAATAAAAATATCACGGGTACAACAATGATGACATAAATTATTGTCAATAATACATTGAAACGTACTAAGCCCATAACCTCCATAGAAAGATGGAAGTATTAACCAGTCAATCAAGAAATAAATGATGAGTTTGTTCACCCCAATTTGAAGAGACGAGTGAAGAGAAAGAAAAACACTTCAAAAATTTTCTGTGAGAAATTTCTTAATTAATTCTAAGTCACCAGTCTCTAAATAAGATGTATTATTTTCTTAGAAGAGAACAAGAAGTGTTACTGACCTTCCTTTTCCTCCATTTCTCTCAATCCAGACATAATGAAACTCTTGTTATTATTTTTCCAACTAATTTAAACTTATGAAATGCTTTTTTCTCTTCAAACGAAATTGAAATTGTCCTGGTAACACATTTTCTCTATGTTGGATCCTGCATTCTGACAAAATCCATACGGAACTCACTTATCAGTTGATTCAAAATATTAAATCACATCAATCTCGCTACTTATTTTAGCTTCTTGTGGGAATTTCATTATTCAAATTTAAACATTAAGAATTTAAATAAACGCAAGCTTCAAGCTTTTTATTTTTGTCTATGTATGTGTGTACGCACACATATATATATTTACTGCATTCACCAAAATTGACGTTAGTTATACCCCTTATAATTAGACCATTCCCCACCTGCAACTTTCATTAACTTGGTTACGTGTTCAAACAAGGCCCGCATGGACCACAAACAATTTACATTAAATTTTGCAGGTACTCACCTCATAAAGATGCACATGCTCTTCTCTTCCACGCTGGATCACTGACGTGCACTAAGAGTTCAACAAATAAACAACTGATTCCACAGCCTACTACTGCAAATGAGTCAGTGTTAATGCAGTGGACTCCAGAGGATGGAATCAAGAAAATATCAACTGCTTATTTACTCTCGGTGGGACGCTTCAGCTTGAGAACATGAGAAAGCCCTGCGACTACATGTAGCCGACTGCTTGGAACACCTGTTTTTGCCAATGCCTTCCCTTTTTTGTCCAACAATACAAAGCAAGGTACGTAAGTGATGTCATAATGGAGAAGCTGCATTGTCAATAATGTAACGAATTTAGCCATATCATCATGTCAAACTTGATCCAGAATGAAAAAAGAATGTCAACACAAGGGTGCTAAAATGGTAAAAACATCATACAATTAGAAAATTAAGCATTGATACCTCAGGCAGCCATTTCTCATTCTCTGCATCTGCCATGACAACGTTGAGCCAGCCCAAATTCCTACCCTCCACCTCCATTACAAAGTTAACCAATGAATTGCACAGCCTACACTTTGGTGAGTAGAACTCTATCACTGTAGCCTCTTTCCCGCTTGCAAGTGCTGCTGCAAATGCTCTCTGCTCTGCCTCCCCTTGCTCATCAGGAGTCAACATCTTTTTGTTCAACTTAAAATTATAATTTGGACTGCTTCCAGCAGTCAGCTGGAAGGAATTGAAGTTAGTGATCCACAAATGTGAGGATCCAGCAAATGAGTTAAAGGAATTCATAGCAATGGATCCCAGATTTTTTAAAGTCTTGAAAAGCCACGGACCCTCATATGTACAAGCATTTGGAGTTCTAGGATGTTGATCAACATTCCATGGCCATTTTAGGCAAAGAAAAGGTTGTTTCGGATCAGAAGCCATATTCTTGCTTAACGAATATCCAATCTGTAGAAGCCCTTGGTACAGATTAAGCCATGTGAAGCGAGTCCCTACAATGTAAACGAAGAGTACCATAGAGATGTGAAAGACAAACATTTTTTTAGTAAAACAGAACACAGAATAACTTATATTAAAAAAAAAAAAAAACCCTCCCAAAAAAAAAAGAACACTGCAGAAATCATGACCAGATAAATTGATGTTATCCTCAATATTTTGTTCCATCAGAACAATATTTAAAACTAGTGTTCACGCTCAAGTATTCTAAAGACTTTTACTCGAGGTCTTACTTTTTCATAAAGTAAAGACATTATAAGCAGGAAGGAAAATTCTACCTTCACCTCTATCCAAAAATGTGGTAAGTTCATATTTGAGGTCTTTAACTCTTGCTTATATTATGCATAAACTTTTCATTATACTAAAAAGCTATGTACTAACCTTATGTTGCTAGAAACATAGGCTGTTGAATGGTACTAGATTTATAAAAAAATAACTCATATCTGATCAAACATATTATGGTACAACTCAGCTTAAAAAAGTATTAAACGTGAATGAAGAAATTAAGATCACTTTATGTTCAGATAAGACTTATAATCAAGAAGACAAACACGGAATCAGATTTATGTGCACTAAGAATATTTCAATTTCAAAAAATAAATTCCAACAGTTGAGCATACAAATATATTGAAATATATCTAGCGAGGAAGATCGATCTTATATGAGAAAATGAGGAAATGTTTCTCCAAAAGTAAAATCAGAGGGCCAGTAAAACCTGAATACAGGCCAACTATAATCATTTATAATCCCGTTGTAAATTACTAGACCACAAAATCTAGCTTTCCTCTAGAATCTTCATATAAATCACCCACCTATACAAAAGCTAATGACATCAAAATTGTGTAATATATTCTCTAAAAAATGCCAGAGAAGAATACAGATTGAGGTAACATACTGACAAACCTTCTTCTCTCAATATTTTCCAGTATATACATTAATGGCCAAGATATGTTTGCTTGGACCAAAGCCCATAAATTGTATTTATGGTTAAAAAGAAGAAAAAAAAAACTAACTAACTTTCAGAAAAGCAAGACAGGTGGCCTTAAGAATCTAAACAAATGCATGCAAGAACCATGAAAGGATACATGCACGAGGGTTTGTTTCATCCCATGAAGAGTTATTTATATGCTAGAAGAACAATTAGAGCAAGAGATCAGACTGAATGGAAGGAAGGAAGGAAGTAGCAAAAGCTTTCTGTCTTCTCCATTTTAAAAGCTTCCTGGCATTTATTTATAGTGGAATAACAGGCAGTTTTCAACTTAAGTGCATATGGAACAGTCCTAGTCTCCTTCAAAATGATGCCAATATCAGAATCAATATTCTTGTTTGATTTTAAACATATGGTTAAATTGATGGACCATGGATAACCTACTGATCATAGTCTTGATGAAATGATTCAGTGACAGATTTTCAGCACAAAATAACAATGATCACTTAATTCCAAGCAAATTGCAGAAGGAATGGATGTTTCACATGAATCTGACGTGAAAAGAAGTTTATCACTATGTTACAATTCTATTTACTACAAATTACTTAAGGAAAACATAGACATATATTAAGAACACTTGAAGTAGGTGAATATTGCAAAATCATGGCCTCAAACCCAACGAGTTACCAAAAAAAAAAAAAAGCGGAGGACAAAAAAAGCAAGCAACATTTGTTAAATTTCTAATATTTCCTCAGTTTATTGTTCGAGTAAATACATATCAATTTAATCCACAATGTCGAAATACCGCAAAAAGAAAACATTTATGCAACACAAAATCAGATCCAAAATAAAAAATTTCCAGAGCTCAGGTTATAATGCTGATAGAACGCTTCCTTGCTACAGTGAGAAGAAAAACAGAAAAAATAAAGACCCGGACCTTCTATCCTTAACGATCGGATCTCCCTCTCTAATGCGTATACCTACAAATCAAAGAGAAAAAGACATAAATATAAAGAAAAGAGTAACCACTGTGACGCTAAACAGATGGAAAATGAGAAATAAATAAACTGGAAATGCTAAAAACGGATTTAGGGTTTCATTATACATTCGAGAAAAAAGAAGAAAGAAGAGCGACAGAAAGATGTTAGAAAGCATACGGACATCTGTGTACTTCATACAGAGGCATTTAAAGAAGAAGAAGAAGAAGAAGCAACAAGACCACTGTATATTGTGAAGATTACTGAGAGCGGCAAGTTGAAGCAAGCGAGAAATACGAAAAGGAATTTGCGAAGAATTCATCGATCATAAAATAGGAGAACAGAAAAGAAAAGAGCTTAACCTTGAATAGGCAGATTAGCCGGGAAGAAAACTGATTTCCTTTGCTTCGATAAAACAGCCGGGGATTTCAAAAGGAAGCTGATTGTGCTGAGGCAGGAAAACTGGAAAACGAAGCCGGGGGGGTAGAGTCCTGTTTGTTTTTGTTATTTTATTATTTTCCAAATTAGAGCTACCGTTTGTGTTATAAAATTTTGGTAATACTTATTTAATTTTAAAAATTATATATATATATATATATATATATATTGAAGGTTGAATTATTGTAGTCGTATACAGCTAGTAGAGAATATTAGTGAACAAAAAGTACGATAAAATGTAAATTGATAATTGGTATTAGGAGCCAGCTGGTGTGATCCTTAAAATCTTTTTTTGCTTTTTCTAATTTGACAAAACCTAACCTAATTTTCCACATGTATAAAATGGTACGACGAGCCCATTGAATTCCCTTTGAAAATACCTTTTCAAACACACTTTTGTGTCCTCGTATCGTTGCCTTGCATTAATTTTATTTATAAAATTTAAATAAAAAGTATATCTATCTACAAGGGAAATAAATGCAAGAAGGTAGAGGTGTTTATCCTCTATTGTCAATAGTCTTATATTTTAAAAAATAAATAAATAAATTATATAATAATTACATCGTAAATTTTATTTTGAATATTACGTATTATATAACTTACTAAATTTAGTTACGATTTCGTTATAAATAAACATAAATATTTTTTTATTTATTTAGGTAAGTTATATTGATAGATTTTGATGTGGTATGAGATAAAATTTTATAAAAAATGATATTTGTAACGTTTTAAAAAAAGTTTTACGCAAATAATATTCAACTTTTAATTTAAGTAGTTATACGAAATTATTGTAAATTTAAAAAAAAAAAGTTAAATATTTATTTTTAAAAAAAAGAAATTATAAAAACTCTTTTAATTTCTTTACTTTTTCTCAATAGCCAATAATAAAAAGTTTATTGTTTCACTTGAAGTTAAATGAATTAAGCATTATAAAGTGAGTAGAATCTCAAACTCGGGTAATTTTAAACACATCACATCAACTTTTTGTATTTGATTTCCAACAATTAGCTACTTTTTTCCTTCCGTCAAAATATATCTAAACCAGCAATTTCCATACGGGTGAAGAAAGCTAATCTAGGATATTAATTGGAATATCCCCCCGATATATTGATGGAGGATGAGGATATTATTAGTTCACCTTTTAATAAAGGACTATATTCATGTGTGTGTATGTATACATATATATATCTATGTAACTTTAGAAAAAGGATAGAAATGGAAAATAGAATATGGTATTGTAAAAGAAGAAAAAAATACATACATGTGTTTGAGTGGTAAGCAAAATATATGTTGTATAAAAGTGCCATAATGTATTTGAGGCGCCATTTAAGGTAATTAAATGATAAATTAAACCATAATGACTTGTGGTTTTTTCTTTTCATTTCATCAACTAAAGTAATTAATTATTAACGAATAATTCATTGAAGTTAACCAATGAAACTTTAGATTTTTACTTGTTTTGAAGGATGAGTTTTTGATAAGATAATGTTTTAATTAATATTAAGACTAGTTTTTTTTTTTTTTTCTTTTCCCGGGTTGTTTAATTATTATTGTAAACTATACTACTATATAACAACTGTAAATATATATATATATATATATCTATCTAATTTGATAAGTGACAGAGAAAGAAACTAAATTTGTTTTTGGGTATGTCAGAATGTCTGGAGCTCAACCAGTACTCATAACCTTACAATTTAGCTTCCTCGAAAAGTGAATCCCCAAAAGGGAAAACCACCGTATTAACACCAAATAAATTTCGGAAACTAATTAATGTTTTTAGAACATAACACGCTGAAGAAAAGGGCGTGTTTAATTTTAATTTTAATAATAATAAATGGTCAATGCGATTTTGAAAAATCAGTCAACGAGGATGTCACATAATCCCTCACCTCCCTAGCAATCACATCCCTCAACGCATCCCAAAACCCAGCCGGAAAGTTCTCCCTCCTCCTCTCCTCCTCTTCCTCCACCACCAACCCCCCGCCGCATCCCCTCCTACCCGGCGGCGCCAGAGTCAACGCTGTCAGCTCTTCCTCCTCCATCGATCCCCCCGTCATTACTTGCTGCCGTTGCTGAGGTAATAACTCTCTTGCTCTTCTCTTCAACGTAGAGTTCCAGTGGTTCTTGACAGCATTATCGGTACGACCGGGGAGTAGGCGGGCAATGGTGGCCCATCGATTGCCGTAGCGGGCGTGGGCGGCGAGGATGGTTTCGTCTTCGGCTGGAGAGAAGGGGCGGTGTTGAACATTGGGACTGAGCTGGTTGCACCACCTGAGCCTGCAAGACTTTCCGGAACGACCCTTGATGTATCGGCTAATGAGAGACCAATTCCTGGGACCGTACCGGTCGACGAGTCGTGTAAGAATCCGATCCTCTTCGGCGCTCCAAGGACCCTTGATCCTGTCGGAGTTGGTTGGGTCTCTGGGCGACTTGGAGGAGAAGGAAGAGTCCGAAGAAGAAGAGTCTGAAGATGATGTAGAAGGAAAGCAGGTGTAGTTAATTGGTTCCATAGTTTACAGCGGTAGTACTGCGAGTAGTGAATGAATGGAAATAGTAGAAGATATGATAGGGGTTTTATATGTAGAGAAAGAGAAACGAGGGTACTTCCTGGAAACAGGCCTTTCGTATAGTTGGTAGGGGGTCTATGGATAGATGTACTGCACCTCCTCCCCTAATTATTTTTAATTTTAAACAATTTCTCCATTCTGGATCTCTAATATTCTATTTCCTTTTCATTTTCTTTTGTAATGAGATATATATATATATATATATATTATTATTATAGTAGTTGTTTATTAATAATGCATCTGGAAGAAGGTTTCATTTTTGGTAAAACAAAAAGGAGAGACAAGGGGGTTCTCGGCAGCCAACCATTTAGTGTGTTAATTGCCAGGAGACATCCTGCGCACATAAATGGTTCTTGGGTACAACTTATTCTTTCATGCTAGAAATCAATGTGCAGCATTGAAATCAATACTACCTATATATATATATATATATACACACACACATACGTAATGGTTATTCAACTTTGTACCATAATTTGGGGGGAAGAACTGGCATGATATACGTATAAATTTAGATTAAAAAAAATATCAGAATGTGAAAATTTTATTCAAAAGAGTAAAATAAAATTTTAATAAAAATTTATTTGGTAGTTAATCATTAATAAAGAAAGTACAAGAAGACTTTAAATCTATTGATTAGAGAGAGTAAATTAGAATATGAATTTTATTAATTAGAAAAAACAAATTTAGCTCGTAGCAAATTAAGTATATATTATATATAGATTAAGGTATATATTTAAAATATTTAACTTTGAAAATAGATATAAAGATTGAATTTCTAACGAATTTTTTTATTTATTTCTTAAAAATGTCACTCAATAATAACATAATAGAATATTTTACACGAAATCCAACTTAATCATTGTATTACTATCAAATTAACAAATTTTATATTTTCAATAAAATTTAAATTCGTAAATTGAATTATAATATAATAATTTTAATTATTAGATTATCGTATAATTTGTAACTTTAATAAAAATAATTCGGATTTTAACTTGTTGTCATTATTCCAACTATCAAAATTTAGTTATCTCATAATATTTATTTCGTTTATAAATATAATAGATTTGCTGATATTAAATTTAATTTAATTACCTTAATTTACCACCGTATTATTAAGATAAATTAATGATTGTATTTAATTAATAAGTTACTAATATTAACGCATTATATACTCATAAATTAGCAAACTCTATATTCTCTATGAAATTCGAATGCATGACTTTCAAATATAATATAAGAATATTGAAAATTAAACTGTTGTATTATTTTTAACTCTAACAAAATTTTATTTCAATACATAGTTACATATGCAAGTCTTGTTATAAACAAGAGTTCAAACTTTAATTTTTATCTTAAATTAATACTAAAATAATTATAAAAATAAAATTTGTTGGTTACTCTTAACAAAATTTTGTAGTTATAACAATAAAATTTGAAGTTATAATGAAGAAAATAATTTTAAAAAGAGAATACGATCAATTTAACATGGCGCAAAATTTACATATATTATCTTATGCTAAAAAAAAAATCTGACCCTTTAGTTTAATTGAATAAAAATATACATAGGGATAAAAATAGAATTAGCATATAAAATAAAATAAAATCATTCTCGTACCCATGCAATGGTGTTTAAAACATGACAGGAAAGGCCGTGCTGTGGATCACATTAAATGCGAATAACAAAAATGTTTTAAAACGGAAAGTGGGGCCAACCCCTTTTTGACTAACCCGGATTTACAGCTGTAAGTCCAAATCCGTAGCCTCAGTCCATCCAATCAACGGCCAGTAATTCACTTAAAAAAACTAGTTCGAAGATGACTTCAACGTCTTCCATGTAGGACGGGCCCACTCCCAGGCTGTAAGAATCTCACGTGATTCGTAGTTGAATCCCCTTGACTTTGTAACACCACCAGCCGCTCCACTCGTCTTTTAGGAGCGTGTGTCTCACCATTATACTGCTGCTTGTCCCCTCAATTGGTTAATTAATTAATTACAAGACCTTCACTGTTTTTGGGACAACAAATCAATTCATTTTTCAAGAAAAATATTCCATCAATGATGGCATGTCTAAAAATTATATTTTAAGATTGTTAATTTATTTACGATAATCCACCGTCTGGAGAGCACGCGCTTTGTATAAGCCGGTTGCCGTGGATAAATAAGAACGGACGGTTATCATCAATGCATCCTAGCCGTCCACGTGTCAGTATTTATGTAATTTGGAGGCTTATGGTGGACCCGTGATGTAACTTTAGCAAGAAGCAGTTAGGCAGTTGACACCACACAGCTGGCATCAAAACCCCGTTCACATAAAATAAAAAAAATAAATAAATAAATAAAACCATCACCGACTGGAAAGGAAGAAAGAAGTCTTAAGTGGGTGTGGTAAGCGAGGACCGATAATAATTGTCTACTGACGGTTACATTGTCAAAGTGTGGGGACCGTGTTCAGTTCGCAGATTTTAATTGGCGATCAAATGGACTATTAGCCGTTTGATTCAGGTAGAGGGACCCGCACTGCTCCCTTCCTACCCGTTTGCCGGTCGGTTTGGCTGTATCAGGAAAAGGGGGAGTTGTTTAAGCTAAAACCGTGTGGGAACAGGGTTAGTTTGTCGTTTGTCTACTGGTTGGGTTGGTTAAGATTTTTTGTTCCTTCTCCTTCTGCCTCTCATAAATTATTCATTTCCATTTTTTGACCTTATCTTTCATAAAAGATTTTTGGTTTTTAGTTTTTGGGACTACCTTGAAATGTATTTAGTATGTGGGTAGAAGGTGTTTGTGATAGGCTAATAAAGATATATATATTTACCCACTAAGAAGTCTATAAAATTATTATGAAGTATATGAAATAATTATATTTCGTAATGACCTAAGTCTATCTTTTTCAAAATTTTCACTTTGACTGATTAGTTGACCAGCAAATAAATTCAAAATAATTAAAAAGTTCATATAAAAGGAAAATCCACTTTAACATTTTAATAAATATGCGTGCTTTCTTTTGGGGTATTTATTATTTTAAATAAAATAATATTTGTTATAAATACGACTTTTTTTTTATTTACATATCTTATTTATTTTCTTTTAATTCATTTTCTCACTTATTTTTTCCAGTCACAAATTCATATCATCTTCATATTTTGAACAAAATTATATTAACTAATTAGTGATCTTATTTAAAACATGTGAAAAAATATGGTAACAATCAACTTAAGTACGAAATATATATTTAAAATTTTTTTACGAAAAATAAAATTTATTATCTTAGTTCATCATTTTTTTTTTTAATAGAACCCAAATAAATTTATGATTTTCCCAAATTTTGGCCTTTTAAACTTTGTTAAGCGGACCATCAACTTGAAATCAAACCTCTTAATCATGTATTTATGCCATCTCCCAAAAAAGAGTGTTATTGAAAACGTGAAATAAATTGTCTTGTACTAGATACTAACTTTGTAACATCTTATATTTCTTTTTCTTTTTTGGAAAAAAGTTAAGGCTTGAATAAATAATAACAAAAATATATTACTATTATTATTTTTTATATAAAAAATTTAGATTGATTTATATATAAATGTACTTATCTGGACGTGCTTCAAACAATATTAATATAATGTAATAAATTATTTTGTACTAAAAATAAAAATTATATTAATTGAGTTATTTGAAAATGAAATGCAACAATAAAATATTTGATAAAGTAAATTTATTATTTAGCGTGACTGTACCAAACTTGACTTATGAAAGCAAGCAAGGATTGACATATGAGAATGAAGACAAATAAATAAAAATAATATTTGATAATTGTTAACAACGATGAATATGTGAGATTGAGAGTACATGTTGATCGATGAAAGCGAATGTCGACAAAACCATATATTTCGATCCGTTCAATGAACAAACAATAATTTTTATATTTTATCCCAGTGATGACACTCTAACATTTAAGTTAATAAAAATAATAAATTAAAAAAAATTATTTTATTTTTTTTTATAGATAGTTAAGAGTATATAAACTAGTTTTATTAATTTTTTTAGTCCATAATGTGCTATTTCAAGAGGATGCTATTATGACATGATTATGATAAGGGCATAAAACAAGAGTTAGGACATGATAACAAACTTTATCTTTAATGTTTAAGGTCGTAATAATAAAGTATGATTATTCTTATAGTTGTAAGGTTCTGACGTAATTATTAGATATATTCACTTAATTGTCAAATGTTTTTTAATTTAGTTACCAATTATTCTTAACTTCGTCGCATATGTTTTCCACTTACTTATTAGGTGTCAAACATATTCGATTGAAGAGCATTATGATTAACTTATTTTTCATGTGTATTGACTTAGTTGCCAAATGTCTTACCCCCTACCAACTGTCATGCCATCTACATTATACTCTAACGCATGTTAATGCTACATATATTTTCATTTTTAGATATATCAATACTATTTTCAGAATCATAAGATTATACAATTTAATTTGATTTAATATTAAAAATGATTGAACACACTAGGAGAATTAGTAATGTGTCAAGAAAAATCGGTACGAGAAGCTGTAGATACACTTCTTGATAATGAAATATGTGGACAACCAATAAGCGATGATCATAATAAGGTTTACAAGTCATTTTCAGATGTAACTGAAAGAAAAGAGAAAAAATTTCGTGAGACTTTGCCTGACAAATGGGTTGATTATTCGGGGTGTTCTGTCATTATTATTGATTTTTCACTTTCATTACATCGTTGTGATTTATTTTGTGAAATAACAATAGAATTTTTTCAAATATTTATAATTTGTAATCTAATTAGACAACATCTTATTTTTTTGTAAATTCATAATTTTTTTTATCAAGAATTGTATATGAATCATGCTAATCGAATTAATCGTGCATTTCCCTTTATTTTTGTTGAAGTTGGGTTTAGAGCATATATAGTTGGAATTAGGAAATGAAAAATAAAATAAAATAAAATAAAATATTATTTTTTAAAAAAGTTCTATATAAAAACTGAAAAAGATTAATATATTTTTTTAATTAAAAGACTTTCTATTTTTTCCTCAACTTCTCAGACTTATTATTATTTTTTTTCTAAGAGAAGAACTTTATATGTATATTTACATGCTTTATTTGTATTGATTTAAAAATTATATCGAAAATGTTACCATTCTTTTATCTTCTACACTTTTTATAAAAAATAAAAAAATAAAACTCAATTCACAAGGAGAAAATAGTTTAAAAGGACCAACAAGGAAAGGGCAATGGATATGATTGACTCGATGGACACGAACAGACACCAAAACTATGCACTAAAAATTAGATTAATTGCATAGAAAATCTCTCAATCCCACGTGATTACGAACCATTAAAACAAATATATTTGTGAAAATTTTCAAGATAACTTTAGAATTATATATCAAATATGTAAGTTTTACTCGTATTTTCAACGATCAAATTAATTGAATCAAATAAGATTAGACCAAATTCTAAATGAATATATGTATATTTACATGCTTTATTTGTATTGATTTAAAAATTATATCGGAAATGTTACCATTATTTTCTCTCCTACACTTTTTATTAAAAAAAAAAATTAAGACTCAATTCACAAGGAGAAAATGGTTTAGAAGAACCATCGAGGAAAGGGCAATGGATATAATTGTCTCCATAGATACGAACAGACACCAAAACTATGCACTAAAAATTAAATTAATTGCATAGAAAATCTCTCCATCCCACGTGATTGCAAACCATTAAAACAAATATATTTGTGAAATTTTTCAAGATGACTTTAAAATTATATATCAAATACGTAAGTTTTACTCGTATTTTCAAAGATCAAATTAATCGAATCAAATAAGATTAGACCAAATTCTAAATAAATAAAAGGAAGTCCAAGAGTGTTATCATTTTATTTATGGGCTTTTTGAATGAGGCCGCAGACCCACTAAACCTCTCTGCCACCTGTCTTTTAATTAATTTCAACAGAAAAATAAAGACTCCTTTAATAATTAAAACTGATCACCCATACCCTCATTTAATATAATAATTGAAATAAATTTTTATATTTTACTTAAAAATTATATTTAAAATATAAAACTCACTACTTTATAAGTATATTATTAATATATCGATAAGTAAGATAATTAAGTTGAGTTTAATTCTAATAAACTATGAAGTATTTTTTTAAAAAAAAAACATTTTATACCAACTATATTTAGCTATTTGAAGTCATAATCCGATCTTACTTATTTTTTTTTTTGTAAAAAATTCGCATTTAAAACATTAGTAATCGGGTTAAACCCACAAATTGTACGACCTTAGTTACATTGAGAATTTTATGTTCTCGACTAAACTAAAATAAAGTGTATGGGTTTTAATTGCATAAATATACGAATATTGGGCTCTTATATGAACAATTAATTATAAAATTTACAAATAAGTTCTACAACATCTCTAGATTTTTCTTCCAAATAAACCCTTAAAAGCATTACTTAATTTTTACATATCAAACTAAAGTAACCTTAGATTTGGCTTACATACAATTCTCCAAGAACAAATGGCATGAATCCTTTTCCAAGTATGAGTAAGTGGCTTAACCCTTTCTCACTATAATTTATTATGCAACTCTTAAAGTAATTAATTTGCACAAAACCTTGGAACTAGGCTTATATATTTATATATATATATATATATATATATATATATAGCAAAGAAGATGACTGTCTCTTTTTAAAATTTTAATTTTAATAATTTACAAGCAAAAACCTTGAGAAATTAACACAATCTATGAGAAAAAGAAAAAACAAAAAGCATGAGAAAAAAATATGTTTTAGTACTACTCTACAATATAGTATTGAAGGCTGAGTGTTGCAGAAAGTAATTAGCTAATGAGTCCTAACAAAGAAAATACTCAATTCTGGTCCCTGTGCACCATCTGGGTTTATCATGTATAAAGCTTCAGAGTCTTTAGACCCAATCACCCTCTCAAATCTTGCTCTCATGTAAGTCAACTCTCCATCTGCCGTTTCTTTCTGGTCATTTGGGCCTGGAAGCACTCCTGCTCCCATTGAAACTCCCCTCAAGACCTGCATAACATGAAGCTCATCATCCGACATTTGCTTTCTCCGGATCGAGTACCCAACTTTTCTTCCATTGCAATAAACTGCCCATACGAACTCCTCCAGCAGTTTCTTCCTATGCGTCTTTGTTTCGCTCTCCAGCGCAATCCTGACAATGTCCGACGCCATTTCCTTCTGAAGTGCAGTGGTGAGCATCGGCAGCTCTATCACGAACATAGGCACGCAATGAGGATCTTCTTGAATTGCTAGACAAACTCGGCCTTTGCGGTAGCCGAAAATTGTACCGGTTGTGGCATTGTCTTTGAGCATAGGCTTTCTGGGTCTGCCTAACAAAGCAACCATCTTGCACCCTGAGGTTAACATGGGGAATAGCTTGAACATCTTGAGTAACCCACCGGAGGACTTGGACGCCCGCTTCTCTCCTGGACCATGGCGGAGGAGGGACAGAATTGCCGGGTTGTCCATTTGGAAAAATGGACTGGAATGGACAGACGGCATTTTGGGTACTCCGGTTTTCTTCCTTGGTAAAGGTTTAAGTTGAAGAAGCAAAAGGGTTATTGAAATTTGATTGAAGGAATCAAAAGATCAAATTCAGAGTGTCAAAAAATGATGAAGAAACAAGGGCAGATTGGCGTTTTAAAGGGTGTAAGAGGAGATAGATATAGAAGTTGTAGGAGGTTAAAAATGGAAAAAGGGAAGGTGGTTGTGTTGTCCTTGGAATCTTTTGAAGTGGGGAATTGAAGAGAGAGAGAGAGAGAGAGAGAGAGAGTGTGAACAAGTTGGTTAAGAGAAAACAGAGAATGAGATTGATAAAGACCATGTTTAGTGATGAGATAAGGGAGAAGGGTCACACCACAAGTTGTGGGGGAAGGAGGAGGGAAGGGGGAGAAAAAAATAGCTCAAAAAGATTAAAAAAAAAAAGAGAGAAAAAAAAAGTTAAGTGGTAATGTTTGGTTTAGCATGTGCAACTCTGATCATCACATACCGCATCAACATCATTTGCTTTATACTTTTCCAAAAAACCCATCACAACTCCTCACTAATTATTGAAGGTGCACTTCATCTCTCCCTCAAAACATCTCCTGTTCATCCATCCATGCATCCTCTTTTTTTTTCCTTTTGCTTTTGCTTCTCAAACTCTCTCTCTTTGCGCCTCCATAGTTCAGAGTAATTGTCATGTGTTCTAAAATCATTAAGAGATTTTGTTAACTAATCTATGTTGTTGAGGTACCTAGATAGATTCATCTAACTTTCTTTCTTTTAAATCTGTGAGCCCATTTTGCTTTGTTGGAGTGAAGGCAACAGACAAGTGCATGTATTTCTATATTTCTTTGTTGTTTGTTGATTTATCAATCTTGAGTTTGGTTTATAATTGGGGGGGGGGGTCGGAGGGGAGCAGCAGAAGAAGCATGCAGTGCGAAGTAGCCGAGAAAAGCTTGCCCTTTTAGCGATGAGGAATTGGCGGTGCATGAAGAGCCACCGTCACGCCTGTGGCACAGCAAAACACACTGTCAAAGATGTTAGTAACTCTTTCCACGCTCCATAAATTATTTTTAAAAAGTCAACAGTTTAATAATTAATATCAGATAGCTAGGTAAAATAAATCGAAATTAAATAATATCAGATTATTTACACATCTAGGTGAAATAATTTAATCAACTTAATCACTAATTTTCTACCAATGATAATTTGATTGACAAATATAAAGTGTAAAGAACAAAATGATAATGGATTTTTTCTAGGAACATAATGATGTGAATGTAAATTGTAAAGAAGTATTCATTTGCCTGTCTTAATAAGTGACTCTAGAAAAATTATTTCCTATAATGGTATTATTGCAATGTGATGTAATATTTTTTTGTTGTGTATTTATTAATTTATTACTTTGGTATGAAAATTTTTATTTATCACTTCAGTGTTTATCAGGGTTCTTGACTTTTTCCAATAATGTACATAATCTGTTGAACAGAATGGGGTTTCNNNCCATTTAGGCTGTTTGGCGGCATATGGTTTTTAGCTACATAATTATTTTTTTAGAGTAAATTTGCTTTTCAATCACTAATGGGAATTTGATACTTTTAAGCTTTGAAAATACGAAGATAGAAACTTTTCCATATAATTTATTGCATTCTTTTGGATTGCTTTTTTAGCCTTTAGCATAAGCTGAGTTTGACATTATAATAATTAAAATTAAATCAAGGGGTTAAGTATGGTCTAAATGATTATTTAAGCTTAAACTGGTTTTTTGCTTCCTTCTAACCATTGTCCGTATATTATTATTGGGATTGCGGCCTCATAGTTGTTGATTTATCTACAATTACAAATGGGATTTAGGGGGGAAAAAAAAGGGAAGAAAAAGAGATTAAGTATCATTAAGCCATGATTAATTAAATATAAAAAAATCACAGAAAAAGCTCAACCATGTTTCTTAGATGCTGACCCTACATTTGATGAGTTAAGTTCAAATGATCAAGTATAAAATACTCTTATTCCTTCTTAAATATAAAAGATGGATATGCTAATATAATCTTACATCAGGCTGACTGTCCAGATTAAAATAATCCAATTAAGTACGATAATTAAACTTTAATTAAAACCCTGCTAAACAAATTTAAAAGAACATTGAAAAGTGGGTCAGCTTGTATATATAATATACACATGCTAAAATAATGATTTGGTTGATATATTATTAACTTTTATTCAAAATTTAGTGTATACTTGAATCTGTTACTGTAACTTTGATAATTTTCTCACACTATAAAAAATGTGCTCTGCACAAACACCTGCATGTTCATGAAATTAATTAATCACGTAATTTACTATTGTAACGATTTTCACCACTGATTATATATAGACCTGGTGGCCGAAGCAAATCCCAAGAACTTGCTTCTCCACGGTTTCTAGGACTTGGAGGAGAAAATAGAGTTTGAGAATCTGGCAATCGTTGGTTATAGGTGTTTTGAGGGCTGCCGCTAACGACGAAGCCGTCGTAATTATGGAGTTCATTCATGTCGGATAACTCTCCTTCTACCATTCTGAGCATTTTCCACTTTTCTCCTTCCCAAATGCTCCCCGAAGATGTTCAAATAACCCCCACATACTTTCTTCACGTAATCTGAATCCAGAAGCCTGAATCGTCTCTAATATATTGATTCTCGTCGATGAAAATAGCGCAGGCCGTCGTGATACACTGCTTTCCAGAGAAGGGTCTCGTGGATTAATCTGAAGACGAGAAAATTACAGGAGAAGGAGCATTTCCAGAGGATGTAGGAGATGAGTTTGAGCTTGATGTATGCCATGGGGGAGGTGAGAGAAGTAAGAGAAAGAAGAACGGTCGGGAAACTTGTTTTGGGGATTTGGAAAATTAAAAGTGTATTAAATTTAATTGATTTTTTTTTTTTAAATTTGTGAATTAGTTTAAGCTAATTTACATATAAAATTTTTAAATATCACACTTCAGATATTAGACTAAATAATTTTTTTTTTTTAAAATATAATGATTAAATTAATTAAAAATTAAAAAAGAGATTAATTTATACAAAACTTAATAATACAAGTATCATATCATCATTTTAGTGTGTGTATATATATATATTTCAACCAAAAAGCGTGCTAATGAATTTGATATTCCAGCATGGCTACTAATAAAACAATAGTGAAAGAATTGGTTTCACATTTAGATGTTTATCTCGTAGACATTGAAGGTGTCTTCTTCTTCTAACTCATGTGCATTGATTTTTATAATTATGAATTCTCTTTCTTTCTTTTTTTTCTTTCACAAAAATTTGTGTATCTACTTTTTTTTTTTTAAAAAAAACAATAATTATAATATGTATTTAGATCACTTTTGATACATAAATAGTATTATAAATTGGGTCCAACAAGATCAAAGTAAGATTTTTATTATATTATACATTTTAAATGATTAAATAAATAAATTAATAGTTTAATATTAAATTTATACTACTATTGTTTTAAAATTCGTATCCACAAATTATAATTATGGTAATAGTGTGGTGATAGTAACAATAACAATTGTAAAAACATCAATATAGACAGTTACGACTATAGTAATAGTGGTTGTGACCATTGTAATAATAGTAACAATAGTTACAACAACTCTTACAATCGTTATATTTATAATTCCAACAACAGTGACAAAAAAAAATAATAACAAAAATAAAAATATTAATATTTTAAACGACATTAAGAATATAAAAAATAATAGTGACGATGAAAGTGGTAGAATAAAAGTGAATGTAGCAGTGATATGATAATAATGATAATAATAATAAGAAATTTGTAACAATTATGCAACAAGATCGGTCAATAATAGCAACTGTGGAGGAGGTAATTGTATTAACAACAATACTAATAGGCGTATCAATGTAAGTGGGTCAGTTAAAGTAGTAAGGCGATAGTAATAATAATTTTAAAAGTACGTGACAATAGTAAAAAATTGACAACGAGAGTAATAGAAATAATACGATGACAGAGGTAAAAAAGTGATGATGACATGTAATCATTTATAATATTTTGTCATGAATAGATATATAGAAAAAATATACATAATCATTTTAGTACTTTTTTGAAGTAACATGCATGTAGACATTAGGGGTGATGGAATGAATAATACTACTTACGGCAGGTAGTGTTCTACCTCACCAAAATGAATGACTGAAAACAAAATTTACCAAAAACCAAAATACTAAACTGAATTGAAATGGTATAATTGTGATTTTTACCAACATTATATATATATATATATATTTTTGGTTGAAAATGAAGATAAAATAATAAAACAAAAATTAGTTCAGTATAATTATTTTAATTTGTAAAAACTATAAATATTAACTATTAATTCTAAATACGTATTATTTTTTAGTATGTAACTTATTAGTGTGTGTTTTATCACTGAAATTTTATTTTATTTTTATAAAAAGAAAGTATGTAAATTTATTTCATTTTCATTTAGACCCATTTAAAAAGCATAGACAGAGCCCATTACAAGTTTTTAAAATCCATTTTCATGGAAAGACTTCTTCACCCTAACCCAGCCCATATTTTCCTCCTGAATTTGTTGCGGGTATAACCCAAATAAAGTATTAGAGAAAATCCCATTTTCAACTTAAAATTATGATATAATTCTTTATAACTAATTATTTTAAAACCAATTATTTAAGACTAGAATACCAGTAGGAGACTAATTAATAATGGCCATTAAGCGACCCCTAAATTGTCTATACCGATGAACCACATCCGCTTATGGAATGAAGTTGACACTCATTTTTAATAGCCGACAATTCCTATTTTACTGACAAACCTTGTTAATATAATTAAAAACATAAAACAAAATACATTTTTCAGGTTTAATTCGATGGAAGTAGCATTTCGTGTGCCTATATATATATATATATTTATATATGTTCGCTCCACACGTGGTTGCATGTGTTGTTTTTTTTTTCAGACTTTAAAATATTTTTGGTTAACCATCAGGTATTTTGAAGGTTGAAAAGTCTTACGTTGCATTTAAGTTCAACAAAAATTCTTACTTTTAACTTTTACAAATGCTAATAATTAATTATGAAAACATGATTAATTAAACAAATGAGCGAGGGAGAAGAGACAAGTTTATAAATCCCTTGATTGATGTAAGTTGACAAAAGACAGCACGGACGGCTATAATTACTTGTTTGTATATCCAGCTATATATATATAGTTAATAAACATACACAAGACAATAATCGTGTACGTTGAATTACAAAAATTAATCGAATTGCCTTCAATTTCTTACATTTGAAAAAAAGAAAAAAAAAAAAAGAAAACACAGATGATTTATCAGGCAGGATTCAGGAACGTCAACGTGTAAATGATCCAAACCTAAGCGCATGAAGAGAGGGACTGAAAGCAAAGCGCCCCAGAATACCCTGTTTGTATGGCAAGAATGTTTTCTTCTTCAAATCCTCCGATGCTGCTTTGTTCGTGGTGTAATGCAACTCATGAGCTGAAACTCGGCCTCTTCTTTTTGACCCGGAGGCGGATGCAGAGTTCTCCGTCGACCGGAAGCTGGTATTCTTGGTATCTTCAGGTCTCCTCAGGAAACTCGATGAATACTTCCTCAATGGATCTTTACCTGCTGCTCTTCCCTCAGATGCACTCCGAAACAGCAAGAAATCTTTAAATCTCCATTTTCTTGAAGAAGAAGAAGCCTTTGAGGAGGAAGTTGATGAAAGCGAATTGGAGGGTACGGATTGTTTGGTGGGTTGTTGTTGAATCTGCTTATAATCTTCTTCTTCCTCCCATGGATATGCAGAGACTCGAAAAGGAGAGAGTGATCTTGTATGTCTACGGCTTGAACTAGTTGCCAAACCTTGACTACCTCTATCTCTCCCTCTTTCTCGCGTTGCTCTGTTTCGAGTACTATTTTCGACGGCAGCAGCAAATGGGTCGATGTCTTTCTTCTTTCTCGGTGAAAAAGCTTCGCGAATCATCTTCCTACCCTGAGAGAGAGGGGATCTTGGAGAAGTTATTGGTGATGGAATAAGAGGGGTGGGCATGTCGATTTGGAGCCGCGGCGGGGGTTTCAAGGGTCGGATTTTGCCTCCATCAAAAAGCTCCTCCGCCGAGAGAGACGCCTTCTGTAGCTCCCCGCTAATATCAAAAGCGAAATCATCTTCTTTGGGTGATTTCGGAGTGCCTGGTTTGTCCTCCCAATCAAAAGGTACAGAAACATATGAGTTCTTGTCTGTCTCGTCGATCATGGAGAAGTTGTCGAAATGGCGATAGAACTCGGACAGGCGGGTCGGACTGGTTGGGGCGCTGAAAAAGCAGTCGCCATAGCCTCTGGGAGTTGGGGGAGCAGTCAAGTATGAAGGCGATCTGGGTGTGTTGAAATCCAACTCCATTTTCTCCTGCGCTAAAACCATCACCTCCATTTTGGTTGGTAAGGAAAAGCGAAAAGGAGAAGGAATATATATAAGGAGAGAAAATTAGAAAGAGAGAGGAAGGAGGGAGAGAAAGCGAGGGTGAGGTAGAGATTGTTGACCAGTAAGTCGTGGCTTGGTAGCCGCCATTTAATACCTTCATATAAATAATAAGCTATGTGGGGTATTCCTGTCATGGTCACCCACTCGGGTGTAGAATTTGACATGAAAATTAATTCATGTCATCATCAAAGTTTAATTTAATAAAATTTGTTTTTATGTGTGGCTTACTCCCCAAATATTACTTTTTAATAATCTCGAAATTTTGCACGTGAATATAAAGGCTAAACCCTTTTTTGTTCCTGAACCCGGAAAGTAACAAATGGAGGCATGACAAATTGGAAAATATTTAAAACGAAAAATATAAAGCACATGATGAAAAAACATAAAGGAGAAAGTTCTTTCATTAGGTAACTTGCGTCTTTTATATAATTTTAATTTTCGTAATTAAATTCTTTAAATATATACAAAATTTTTAAAATATCAGAGTATGAATATTTGACTATTAAAATGCTAAAATCACAATTCAAAATACACACAACACACCGTGCATTCTCTCTATCCATGTGTTTTCACTCTCATGTTTAATTAGACATATGTATAAGCATATATATATATAATATGCAGCTCTGCAGGTGGCAACTTTTGCATGGAGTTTTATTTTTCACGAAAAGAGAAGCAAATAAACTAATTGCAACAAAGATAAAAGAAAATAGGCAATGGAGAGGACGGATTTAACCCAAAACCTATACAATACGAACAAAACACTATTTCTATTAATTTACCTTAGTATCTATCTTGGGGTAGGTCTGGTTTTTTGTGTTGATAATATGATGAGTATAATAAATTGGGTGTGTGTCTGTATAATTTAAAACATACTCAAAGGACTTGGTTTGAAAGATTGAGTAACTTTTGAAAAGCAAATCCCTCTCGCGATATCAATTTCATTAAATATCAACATCTATCAAAAACTTAGTGGGAAATGAAATTTCATGCTTCATTTGTTCAAAGAGTAAGGTAAATTCATATTAAAGTCTTTATAATGCTAGCTCTTTTAATGGTTGTGTACGTGCGTGCGTGTGTGTATATATATATATATATATATATATATATATATATATAGTATTTATTGGAAGAGTTGAAAGTTTTCAGCAAAGATTTGTTTGTCTTATTATTATTATTATGAATATAATATTTGGTTCCTTTCTTCTTACACAAGAACCTTCAAAATTGATAACTTCCATTTATTATATTCACAATTTGTTCTCCCTTTCTGATAATAACTATTAAATTACATATTTAATTGATTGTGTCAACTTTTATTATATATACACACACACACACACACACACGTAAGGGTGATTTTGAGTGAATACTAATTTAAAGGCGAGTGGCTAAATTAGTAGTCAATTTGGTTATGGGTTTAGTATAAGGTAAGACGTGCGAGAAAATCATACTGGGACTAATTCATGTCTTCTAGATGATTAAGACTTTTGGTAAAGCACAACCATAACCTTTTTAATTTCTTGTATCATCAATCAGACTGTTGGGTAGCTAATCTAACGTCAAAAATTTAATGCTGTTTAATTATTGTTTTTCCTGCATATTACATCATGAAGATAAACCAACCTTTTGATGGCATAGTTGATACGTCCAACATCTCTTAGAGGATGTGGGTTTGAGTTCCATTTTATGTGTTTCTTGGGTTATGCAAATATATTGAGAGTCGGAAACCAATCATAAAAGCTTTATTTGCCGAAATTAGGAAATGAGCCGGCAGATCCAGTTACTCGGCATTGATTAGCGGCGTGTGAATTGCTCCCTCTCTCTCTCTCTCTCTTTTATAAAAAGAAATTGGACCACAAGCTCTGAAGTTTTCATACCAATAACTTGAATTTCAGCCTCACCACCTTCATTACTTCACTTGGAACTCTAACCCTCTTTCTTCTCTTTATAGCCAATGCTCATGAATTACCCACCACCTCTGTACAATTCCGGACAGAGTAATCACACCTAATTTTCTTTTACTCATACTTCCACTACTTCCCTCTACTATCATCATCACTCCACTCTATTGATGACAAGCGATGTTTTAATGCATGGTAAACTTATATCTCCTATAATGGGTATCCACATGATTTGATGGGGAGTATGCTGCTTATGTTGCTTGATCGATAGATAAATCGGATATATGTAATCTTGATTTGTATTCTATTGCTGTATACAACACCCTCGACTCCAAACATAACGATGCAAAAAAAAGCAAAAATAAACTATGTGCACAGAAGGTACCTAAAGCTAAATTCATATGGCATAATTTGGACAAACTGGGATGGAAACTCACTATTACCCTTTTCTACACACTTAATGGCCTCTTTGGCTAGATCACTTGGTAACTGAAGGCAGATCCAATCAAGCAAAGAATCCAAGTCCTTTGCAAAGTCAAGTAAATACCAATCCAACAGCTTTGGGATTGCAAATTTCTTCGACGAAATTCCAACAGCAGCCTGTAAGTACTCTCTTTTTGCCACCTCCAGTTCATTCTCGACCTGTGCTGATGTATACACTCGTACCTTCATTTGACAGTATTCAAGAATCAGTAGCTACATAATCATAGTTTTGTCGGACACTAATTAACTATACGTACTAACTAATTAATTGGTACCACCAATAGTTTGGAGTTCTTGATTTCAATCAAAAAATTATTTATATAAAGAGTTGGAAGATTAATATTGCACCGAATTTGGGACCACTATGTTACGGTTATTCATGAATGAAGATGAGGCTGAGGACAAAGATAAAATCAAGCCTATCGGATTTATATGCATCAACTTACAGCAGGTGAGGACCAACTTCCACAGGAGAGGGCAAATGTTACCAATGGTTCAGATAATTCCAATCCAAACTTGCTCCTTGCTGTCATTTCGTCGTTTTTCATCCCTTTTTGGAAGGGCTGTCAAGCACTCAGGAGTAAGAACTAGCCGAAGAAAGACTAGAGAAAACTTTGACAAGAAGCTAAAGCAACTGAACTTACAAATTTTGAGTGATAAGGCAATCTGAGGATGAAATGTTCGATGGTTATTGCATTTAGCAAGTGTCCACCAACGTTTATCATGGCCTGAGGAACAAGAAATGGATAATTATTGATTATTCATGCGGGGTTACAATTTTCATGTTAATACATATTTTTGACGAGGGAGTTTGCCAAGTTACAATCTTCATGTTAATACATATTTCCAATGAGGGAGTTTGCCAAGTTAGCCAAGTTCTCATAGATGTCTTACATCTCACACTTATAAGAGAAAATTTGTGAGTAGTCCTTACCTTTCGCATCAATGTCATCACCACCTCAGGACTCTCCGGTACTCCATTTTCTAGGATTGCCTGCATAACATCAATGGCTCAATTCTCTAAGAATTGATTGGTATCCAGGAGAGTACATGAATCAAACAAGATATGGAGAGAAAATTGTTCAAAAGATAGATGAAGCTAACATACATTCATCATGCAGGAATTGTATACATTTATCCAGAAAGCGAGCTTCTCCTGATGAGTGAGGTTCTGTAAGTTAACACAAGCAAGTTTGCCTAGTAGAAGCCTGAGGAATCAGAATATTAAATGATCACAGGTTTTTTCAATAACAAGAGGACAATTGAGACAAAAATGGAACTTCAGTTGCAGAAAACATACTTCAATCTGTGTAATAGAAACAAAGAATTTGATGTTCGGTTTGGATTGATTGAACCAGCTTCAATTGCAAGCAAATGCTTATATGGACCAATATTTCTCCTTCCAAATTCTGAACAAATTCCATAAGGATCTTTATATTCTGTTTCGTCAACATGTTCTTGAGACACTAATGCTGACAAATAGGATATATTTTCGATAGTGCCTCTATTCTTCATTGAGCTCATTCTTAAGAAAATACTTGACAAACATTTCACTATGTCCTCAGAAACTTTATTTGGGCTATCTGGTGACATTTTATCATCCGAAACACTAACAGCCGTTGTTTCTGCACTATCTTGATCGCGTAGACGTTTTTCTTGCTGGAAATTCTATAAAAATCATATTCAGTTCATTGTCATTGAAGAAAAGTATTATAATAAATGCACTACTACATACCTGTAATTTCTGAGAATCTAAACGCTTCTCCACTGGTTTCCTGTCAAGAGCAGGTTTTCTCACCGGTGTTCTGATTGTTTGGGGTTTATCTGATTCCTTGTTGCTCTTCAAAGACTGGGCACTTGACTGGGTCTCTTTACCCCTCCCATCATCTCAAGAAGAAATTTTTTTACAACATTTTTAGAATCCATACCCATAAATAGAAGCGTGTTGTTTTTGAGAACAGAAAAACCTTACCAGAAAAAGAATGCAATTGGGTTGTTGCAGAATCACCCACATTTCCAGCTAAAGACTTGGGTTGCTCTGTTCTTGAATTGTTATTCACAGACGGATCATGGAAGTCAGCTGAAGTTTCCATGTTCTTCTTGGAGGAGGATATATACACTGCTTCCTGATATAGATCCTGCCTAAAATGTACAACCTGTTCTTCAAGCCGAACAACCTCCTCTTCCAAAACAGCCACTTCCGCAAGAAGCTCTAGTGTCTACAAGAATCAGGTTACAGCTGCTTAACAAAATTTCTTCATCTAATTCTGAAACTTTCAGCCATTGATCACAGAAAAAGAAATAAATTAAGAGGAAGAGAAGGGAACGGTGAATTACTAACAGAAGGTGGGAGATAAGGAGGAAGGCGAGGGAGAGTTCCCAAAGGTCGAGTGAAAGCTCTCTGCAACGCCCTATGGACATTCTCTTCATGTCTAAGCTTCTGCTTCAACTTATCCACCTTCATAACAATTAGAATTTTGAATAGAATGATCAGTAAACTAAACCCTTAATCCTATATTTGGCATTCAATCGGTGCATTATTGAAGTATAAAAAGTAAGATCCATACATCTTGAAGCAGAGCCATTTTCCTCTCCTTGTTAGCAGCTCGACGATTTATAATGCCTTTTGCACCATCTCTTAACTTGTTTCCCTGCATTTGCACCTTCTCCTTTGAATTGAAACAGAGCAGTTAGTATGAAGAAACAAAAGAGGTAAGACCCAGAAAGAAAAACAAAATAAAAACACAGAAAAAAGGTGTCTTCAGAGAATTTTCAAGGAGAATACATAAAAAAGAGTGAAGTTTGAGATATACTAGGAAAACCCATATAGGATTCTCGTTAAAGAAACATACTTTTTTTCTAGAAATTGTTGGAGCCTTCAGTTTCTGGAGCGTCTCCATCGAAACTGAAGCCAGAGGTTTTGTTTTTTCCTTTTGGTTTCTTTCGGTGAAAACTTAATAAAATTACACCGAATAGCACAGTAAAAACTGTTTTTTCAAAAACATAAACTAAAACTGTTTATAGCTTTTTACTTTTTGAGGCGTCACTGGAGTTTTCATTGACCGCTTAGACGTCCTCTCTCTGGTATTCATCCTGTCATCAACCTGGAAATCAAATTCAATCATCTCAATACAATTATATGAACAAATGAAACAAAACTCAAACTAAAAGATTTGAGATTGTACTAAAAGACAGACTACCGGATTCAAGCCTTTACAGATGAGATTTCATTATGAAGAGTAGAACCGACAGCGAAGTGAAACAAATTCTAAATTCTCAATGCCTCTGACGTTTCCGGGTAAACAAACAAGACAATATAACGAGTGGATTTGGGTTTTAAATTGATCAAAAGAAACTCAAAATTTTCCGCACAGACATCAACACGGGAGATGCTGGTTCAAAGATTATTTTAAGCAGAGAAATAGAGTGAAGAAGAAGAAGAAGAAGAAGAAGAGAAAACTGGATTGATGTTAAGAGTGTTTTTTAAATAAAAAAGCAAAAAAAAAAAAAAAAAAAAAAGGCAGGATTTGAAAGAAAAGGGCAAATGCGCACCTTGGCGCAAGATAGCTGCGTACGCAAGCCACTATCCCCTTGCTTCTTCACAATCATTAATAAACGTGCGCGCTCCATTTCCTACTCGTTCACACATTCCCAATTTATTATTCCCAAAGTGCCCCCTTTATGTCCTCCAAATTACGGGATTTCCCACAAGTTTCATCCACGTTCGTAAGCCTAAAATTAACCTCCAATTTGATTTTCCATAATGAGTTGACTCGGCAAATAATCAAAGAATTGGTTATTCCCTAACGAGGTGAGTAGATGAAGATTAACCTTTTTAGTTTATAGTTTTAAGAGGCAAAAGCTGCATTAATCACATGTTTGCCAACTAATTAAATGTAATTACTGGAAAATTCAAAACAATAATTAATAGTGTTTGGATATTAAATAAGTTTTCATAATTTCCATACATTGCCAACTCAATTTGCAAATTATGGCTGTCTATTAATTCAAAATTTGACCAAATACGAGAAATTCTATCCTATTATATATTTATGTATTTTCTTTTTCTTAAAAAGTATTTCCTTTTTCAGAAGCAGACATATATATATATATATATGTACTTATATACTCAAACAATTATTTACATATACGAAATGGGTTTTCTGTATAATTAATTTATTATCACCCTAAATGACAGGTGTATTGCATGATAAGGTAAAAAAAAAATATGAATGTTAATATATATCCTGTCCTAAGAAAACACTAATATGAGAAGTGAGAATAATCTTCCTTAATTAGAATGTAATTAATTAATTCTTACGAGTTAAAGATTTATAATTAATTTATACACTTAATTTTTTATTTAGATGGTACTTTTTTAATTTTCATAAAAATAAAAATTAGATGTTAGAATTATTGTCTTTTAAAAATTAAACCAGTCATTGAATTGAGTTAAAATAAAATTTAATTAATTATAGAAATAAAAAAAAAATAAACGTTAAAAGTAACGGTAACGGTCTTGATCCGGCACACTATAAACCCCTCGCCGCATGCACTGTCTTGCGTTCTTCTTAAGCTTTCGTCTATTATACTTTATTCCTTAATTTTTTTTAATTAATAATTAATTTTCTCTTTTTAATGATGACATCTGCTAAATATTCACTATACAAATTTAGTATATTATTATTTTAATTAAAAATACGGTGACACCTGTTAAATATTAATTTTATATATTTACTATATATGTATATATTAGCTCTTGCCCTCTTGAGACGGCCATCATGTTATATATATCTATATATATATATAATATGTATTTATATTATAGATACACACGGATTGTGATGGGGCCAGAGCGAAGGGGTAGAGGTTATCATGATGAGCGGTGTCAGATCCTTTGAGTAACAAATATGAAATGGACGCACCATGCATGCCTCCACGTGACAGCATCCTAACTCTTTTACACCCCTGCCAATTATATATTTATATATATATATATATACACACGCACACGCACGCACACACACACACATACATGCATGCCGATAAATATTAATACCCCGTGTTTTTTAATCATAATTAAAATTTTACAATAATCCCTATTAATTAGCACCACCCATGCTTGATTATGATCTAATCACTCTCTACACAACAAACAAGTCTCAACTTTATTAATGATGGGTTTAATTAATTTTATGATCGAAAGCATGACAAGTACCCATTAAATGATTAACACATGAAAAGACGTTACCCATTTTATAATTAAAATAATAATATTTTAGATTTGGATTAACAACTCGATTGACTAATTAACGTACTAATTACTCCAACATCGAATGATAATTTACTTTTGACCACTATAGGAGCTCTACTAAGAGTTTGAATTATCTTAAACTTTTGCATATAATAAAATATGAATTATCAAAAAATTTACTCCTATAGGGTAATAAAATATGTGAATTTTAAAAAATTATATCCAGTCATTATAAATTAATTCTTTTTACTCTATTTTTTTTATTACGTTAAAAATTATCTAAAATGTTAATTTATGGATTAGACCATAATGTTTTCTTAATTAAAACTATTTAAAAATATCTATGTATATATTGAGATGCATCATCTAATCTTTAATTTAATCCACTTTTGTTTCTCTAAACATGCGTGTAAGAAATTATGTATGTTTAATCATGTTAATTTTATTATATATAAGAATCGAAATTTGAATCTTTTTATTAAAATTAAAACTCAGATAATTGAATAATGTTTATTGTATCTTAATTGCACCTAATGTTTTGTATAGACAAACCGACCATACGTACTTATATACCAAAATATAAGTACATATAGAATTATATATACATATATGTATATGTGGTAATTAAAGAGATTTTAGGAGACCAAATTGATGTACGTAAAATGACCTTTTGTGTGTCTACTGCTTCAAATTAAAGTTTAGATTTTATGTTGAATAAAGGTGAGATTTTGGATGTGGGGTGGAAATTTTTTTTTTTTAAAAATTACATAAAATAATTTTACCCTCTTTACCTAAAGCTGATCTAAGGTAACACTTTCTTCCTTTTTCTTTATTTCACCTTCTTTTTTGTTTTCTTTTTGTTGAACTACCTTATTGACAATTTTACAAAATGATGAAAATAATAAAAATACAAATGTTCATAAATTGGGTTCATAAACATCGTAAAATAATTTGATCCATATTTTATGAAGACATTAAAGCATTGAAAATACTTTTTTCTATTACAAGATGACAGAGAAGAATGCATATCTAGTATATTATTTATTGTACTCACGATAAACACTGAGTAAATAAATATATATTAGATATATTACTAATAAAACATTTAAATTACTAGTAAGTTGACCTCAATATATTTCGATTTCTACAGAGACTCTAGTAGTACAGTCAAGACAGTAATAAATTCTCTGTCTTTTTATGAAGAATGAATGATAAAAATTTTGAGAATTCAAGATAAGGTCATGATCCATTTATCGTTACGATAGATGTCAAGTGAAAGAGTGATAATGTATGAAGCTGAGATATTTTAACAGACCGGTTCTAAACAAATAAAAAATAATTAAATCAAAAAATTATTAGGGGACTCAAACTATTTAGTTTAAAATTAGGTAATTAAAGATTTAATGTAATAAAAAGATAAAAAAAATCAATATTTATAAACAAACGTTTTAAGAGATTCGGATTGATATTAGATGAATTATTATTATTATTTCATTAATTATAATTTTTGTAAGTAATTATAGTTTATAGATTTATGATTTATATTAATGTTTGTTGATTTTATTAATTGTTTTTAATTAAAAGATTATTTAATTGATTAAATAATCCCAGTTGAGATGAATGAAGGGTACACATTTAATGGATTTGAGGTGGAGGAGGAAAAAAAAGTGTGTGATAAAAGGGCAAAGGTGGTGCCCTGCTAAAAGGTTTATATATTTGAGGCATCAAAAGCCACTTTGGGTTTGATGTAAAATTTTCCTTTTTTTTTTTTTTTTTTTTTTTTTTTCTTTTTATAAAGGTTGTTGCTTACCATCCTATGGTCCCCATTTGCAATACCAATCTCTCAATTTGATGTCAAAGAAAAGAAACAATTTGGCGAAGAGGAAGTTAGGTGGACAGCTGGCCATTATCTTCCTCGGGGGACTTGTCTCTAAATCACAAGACACCAGATCCATGGCTATAAAATCCTTCCAAACAACTCATACTTGGTCTCAGAATAAATATAAACCATTCACTCACTCACTCACTCCTACCCTTTCATTATGCCTAGAAACTATGAGGTAGAATCCACAAATGGTAATTTTTTTCATCATAATCTTTTGTACTTTTCATCAGAAAAGAAAACTTCTCGTCCTAATTTATTTTATCTCCAAATTCTTGCTTCAATTTCTTATTCATTCAATTGAAACCCCTTCTAAATGCACAAAAGAAACAAAGATTGTGGACTTTTTATATTATAATAAAAAGTCTTGTACATCAACAAACAAGAGCCCCTTCTCCTTGTTTGTTCAACGAATAAAAACCTTAGCACTACATTCCAAATATGGTTATAAATAATAAAAAAGTACAAATGAAAACAAATAAAATAACATGTTTCATGTTTAATCTCTGAAGCCAGTCGTGTCATTAAATTTTTGTGATATTTGGTGGGTCCAATTCATCCACATGTCTTAACCAAGTCTCTAAAATATTTGAAATAAATAATTTTTTGAGTTCAGTTCAACATCCTTTTATTTCTTAGTTTTTGTTCGTATCAAATTATTGTAAGATATTTAATTACAAAAGAGGAAGTCGTTAGTTCTTCCGTAAATGACGTAAAAGTAATTCGTAAAATTTAAAAAAGATAAAACTTGTTTTTTTATCCCTTCTTTTTCTTTCTTTTGGGCCTTTCCCTCTCATGTGAAATAATGATTGTTACCCCTACCTCTTAACCCAAAAAAACTAAAGTGTTAAATTATATACATATGTAC